TAAGCCTGACTAATAGTCCATTGTGTGTATGTACCTCACTGTGTTTATCTGTTCATCTGTTCAGGGACAGGTTGTTTCCACCTTTTGGCTATTGTGCACAATGGTGCTATGAACACAGGTGTACAAATATTTCTTTGAGTCCCTACTTTCAATTATTTTGGGTACTTACCAGAGGTAGGATTGCTAGATCATATGGTAATTGTATGCTTAGTTTTTTGAGGAACCATCATACTGTTTGAAGACACTTGGCTTTTCATAGATTAAAAAAGCAACTACTGCATTGTCCCAATTTTTCTTATTTCACTGCAAACACTTCAACACAGACGGTGTTGCTCTCTAGATTAGTGCCTCGAATTACTGCTCCAACGAATATAAACTTCTTCCTGAGGCTATTCACTCTTCAAATAAGGAAATCTGGATTCTTTACCTTGCCTGACAAGAAAGAGAATTCTTTAAAACCATAAAATATCCATTAAGTAGCTTGGAAAACTATACAAAAACCATTAGCTTGATGGCACTAACTACGAAAAACAAGACAGTTTCTAGTATTCAATTTATGAAGCCATCACCATTTTGAATTTGGCTGTGGGTAACTATCATTCCAATACTGTGAACTTAAGATGACAGACACTTGCTTTTCCCCCGTATGATGACTGAGTTTACAGAAATCCTAGAGAAAAATGCCTAGCTTTTCAAAACTCTTGGTTTCTCTGAAGTCTGCGTTTATCAAGCTAAGTACATTTTCTGGTTGGTGGGGCTTTAAAAACAAAATTTTTTTTGAAGTTGTACATTTTAAGTTCTTTGTGAGCTCCAGAAGAAACTCTTTTATTATTGAAACTCATGAGCTATTATCAAATAAATTTAATTCAGTAGGAAAAAAAAAGCGTGCTGTATTAAAATGAAATCCTAATTGTAGCTGTCATAGTCCTTGTTAATATTGGTCTTGACAGTATTTTTCACTTCTTTACCCAATCATTGGTAGGGGTGAAGGTGGGGATGAAGGCACAGAGTAAAATGTATTATTAGTAAGCCATCTGTTAAAAGATATATTGGAAACACAGGTAGATATACATCTGAAAGTTTAAATTGAATTGTTACATTTTTTCTGAAAAAATTCCAGATCTCTTCTAATTCCTCCCTGGAATTTCAATGAATCACATTTCAACAGGTTACAAATTCTAAAATGTAAATTGTCATTACCAAAACCTATGAATCTGCTGTTTACACAAGTCATGTCTGAAGTTCCTTCCTATTTTTCTTTTCCTTTTGTGCTCAACTCACAGATGCAAGAGAATTCTGGAAATGCTTTTACCTCTCTCATATTTCGTATAGTCAAAACTAAACCAGAGATGCCTCATGGAGTGGTCCCCCCCTTTTTTGCCCTTTCTTTGCTAAATCTGTGTGCTTTTAGTGCAGCACATTTCATTTTCCCATCTGTGTGATTTGCTTAAAGCTTGATATTTACATGTCATAAAAGAAAATGTTCTAAATGTATGGT